ACGACCGAGGTGGTTTGGGATCGTGACATTAATAAGCCAAGGTACAATATTTTTCACTGGTGCTATCTCTGTGCTATAAGGCTTCAGTTCACTAGTTTGCTAAAATTTTCAACTTTCCTCATATGCTATAGCTGCACTATGGGGAGAAAGCTTACTGTATTTCCTTTAGTTTTATTACTTTGGAATTAACATCCAAGTGTTCCGCACTATTATAACACTAAAAATTAATAAAATAATTATCCCCAAGTATCCAAATAACTTTATCCACTTCAGTAATTTCTCATGTAGTTCGGGTCTAAATTAAATTATATTCCTAAGATCAAAATTGATCGTATTAGCTATAGAAATTCACGGGGCCTTACACCAACCCATCGTGATGGCACCAAACACACCTGCTAGGCAGGCCGACAATCACAAAACAACTAAACAATTGAATGGAACATACTTAATAACTCAACAACGGATAAATCTCATAAACATATGATAGAAATAATTGAGACTCTCCTCCAACCACCCCAAAATCTGTTGTCATCGAGTACATGAGCTACTAAGTATCAACATAGTCTAAAACTCTAGTATAACTGTTTGAATAATAGAACAATAGTGAATAAAAATGAAAATATTGAGAGTCAAGGTCTGCGGGCGTCATAGCAGCTACCTCAAGGTCTTCGAGCAGGTACTAGCACCAATCTAACAATTGCCGCATCTAGAAGTAACTGGATCTGCACAGGAAATGCAGAGTGTAGTATGAGTACAACCGATTCAATGTACTCAATAAGTATCGAAGATAACCTTGATGAGGTAAAATAAGCACAAATTATAACTGATGCTAGTTATCACCTATACAGTTTCATCTTTTTAACAAGTACAGAGCAGTAATAAAATCAAGTCAAAAAGCACACGAAGAAACATTTGTGTGTGTATGTACAGTTTCTCAAATACTCTGCTAAGTCAATATTCGGCATATAGAGATGATATGCAGTTAAATCATGTAAATAATCACAGAAATTGCAAGTAAAGATGAAAAGTAAAATTCAAACAAAACACTGGCAAGATTTCCTCAATATCCGCATGTACACCATCAAGAGAGAAATATGAGAGGGTGACTCTAGGGGAATGGATCTATATCCACACACAAGCACGACCAATTCAATGTATTACCAACCCAACGTGGTCACATGCACAATATCATAATCCGCGGGCATGGTCACATGCACAATAACACAATCGGCCCGGCGTGGTCACATGTATAACAATACAATCTGTATGGTGTGATCACATGCATAACAATAAAATGCGTCTGGCATGGTCACATGCATAACAATACAATTTGCTCAGCGTGATCACATGATACGAATCTAAAATTCAGAAGACAAGAAATTAAAGATAAAGAATAGAATTTGAGAATAGACCCAACAATATAGTAATTGAAAAATAATTGATAAAGATCAATCACCCAACAATTACATAATAAAGTGAACCTAAGCTATAGGAATACCTTTAAGTGAAAATGTAATTCCACTTGAAGAACACACCTTGAATAAGTTGTCATCAATAATGGCACTCCACTATTACCCCTCTCAAAAGATAACTCATCATTCATCCAAAATTAGTCTCCCTAATATGAAGGCCTTAAGGGCTATTTATACTAGATTGAGTAATTGACTACAAATGACCCAAATATCCCTAAACTAATTCTAAGAAACTAAGTGTAGTCACTTATTACAAGTATAGCTTCCAATCACATGTAGTCTTCAATTGATGGCAAATTACACATATAATCTTTAATGGCAAAAGTAGCCATCAATTGACATCCAAAGCGCATGTTGGCAATCTTGGGCCGTATCATCCTCCCCTTCTTGAAAAGAATTCGCCCTCGACTTCCCACAAATTCCCCCATTTAATCACTTTAAGCCACTAATTAAATGTTAAAACAAATATGGAATCATGATATAACAATAAATCTGAGTCAAAAACAGTTACCCCGATCCAAGACATGAAAATCCCCTCCAAAATCGCCCAAAACCAAGCTCTACAATTTAAGATGTGAAATAATACTCTAACTCACGATTTGGGAAAACTTTCTGCCCAGGTGCTCTTCTTCGCGATGGCAGAAATTGCCTTGCGTTTTTGGCGAATCAAAAATATATAGAGCTGTCAAATCCTCCATCGCGAACGCGATGTACCCATGACGAACACGATGTGTTCTGTTCCAATGCCTATGCGAACGTGACCCTTCTCCCGTGAATGTGTAGGCTAAAAGCCTGGTGCCCAAGCCAGCCTCAACCTTATACGCGAATGCGAATCCTCAATCGTGATTGCAGTGCACAGACCCACTAGACCTTCGCGAAGGCGTGTCCTTCTTTGAGAACGCGAAGCACAAAACCTCCCACCATTGAACAAATCTACTCGAGCGCGATCCCCATGTCGCGAACGCGATGAAGACTGCACCATACACTAGATCAGCAGTTCTATTTGGCCAAAATGAAGGTGAACTTCGTCTGAATCACCCCGAGGCCCCCGGGACCCTATCCGAACATATCAACAAGTCCTACAACACGATACAAACTCAGTTGAATCTTCAAATCACATCAAACAATATCAAAATCATGCATCGTAACCCAGTTCAAGCCTAGTGAAACTAATGGATTTTCAACTTCTAAAATCGATGTCGAAAGCTATCAAACCAACTTCGATTGACCTCAGAATTTGTGCATTATCATAAATGACACAACAAACCTACTCCAACTCCCAAAACCAAAGTCCGAGCCTGGTATCAACAAAGTCAACTTTCGGTCAAACTTCCCAACTTTCCAACTTTTACCAATTCAAGCCGAAACGACTTACAGACCTCCAAATCTATATTTGGACATAGGCCTAAGTCCAAAATCACCATACAAAGCTATCAGAACCATCAAAACTCTATTCCGGAGCCGTTTACACATAAGTCAACATTCGGTCAACTCTCTCAAGTTAAGTTTCCAACCTTGGGAGTAAGTATCCCAATTCATTTTGAAAAATCCTCAGAACATAACCAACCACTCCGGCAAGTCACATAACCACAAATGAACATAGAATAAGTAATAATTAGGGGAACATGGCTACAATACTTAAAATAACTGGCCGGATCTTTACAGTAACATAGATTAAAGATTAATATTGATATTACTAGTCTTTGGCTTTGTAGAGAACTTGTGATATTCTCTTGGGGCTTGTCCTTTTTTGTTCTACCTCGAACAATTACTTGAATATCTTTGTGTAACGACCCGACTGTCATTTTATATATTTGTGCCCCGTTTCTCCTTTTGATGCTTCACACACGTGTGATTTAGGTTTAATTACTTGCTGGGTTAATTGTTTTTGTTCCAGAAATATTTAGGCTTGATTTAGACCCTTTGGCTTTTAGAAGCCTAAGTTGATAATATTGACCAAACTTTGACTTTTGTGAAAACGACCCTGGAGCGATAATTTAGGGCTCTGATTGATTGGTATCGTGATTATAGATTTGGGGGTATGCCCAGAATCGAATTCGGAGAATCGTAGGTTGATTTCTGTTGTTTTGCCAAAAATTGACAATTTGAGAAGTTTGACTGTAGGTTAGCTTTTGGCTATCGGGTTGGGAATTTGATTATGGTACTTGGAATAGGTCTGTTATGTTATTTAGAAATTTTTTTGCAAAATTTGGTAGCATTTGGCATTGATTCGATAGGATTCTTATGCTTAGTTGTAATTCTAGAAGTTCTTAAACATTACTTTAAAATTCATGTGTTTTGGAGTCCAATTTGTAGTTGTAGATGCTATTTTTGTATTTTCATCACGCGAGCAAGCTCGTATGATATTTTTAGACTTGTGTGAATGTTTCAGACGTGATTCGGATCGTTTTAGACTGAAAACGGAAAATCTGGTGTGCTGGTGCTCTGATGTCGCAATTGTGAGCACCATTTCACAATTGCGAACATGGCAGGGGTGGCTCAAGTGTCGCAATTGTGAGACTAGCTAGTTTCACAATTGCGAGGACTGTCAGGATTGGGGTAGGACCGCAACGACAATTGTGTCGCATTTGCGACGAGGACAGGCTTCGCAAATGCGAAGCTATTGTCACAATTGCGACTTCCTCTACGCTGCAGTGGCTGCATTTGCGAGAACTTCTTTGCAATTGCGAGGCTGCAACTGAACAAAAGTTAGAAAAGTCGGAATTTAGGTCTCAATTTTTATATTTTAGAATCTTATACTCGGTAGGAGACGCTTCGGCGAGGGCGTTTTTATCTACAAACATTGGGTAAACTAGTAAATATAAAACAATATGGTATAATATATTTCGAAGTTCACATCAAATTGATATAAACAAGTGAGCAAACTAAGTAGTTGCTGCGCTCATTAAGGATATGAATTGACAAGGAGAGAAGACACATTTCAAGTTTTCAACCACCACCGCTCCTTTCATTCTCCTAAAAGAGGGTAACACACCAACCTCCACTTTCTAAAGTAAAAGTAACGATACTATTTTATACTCCACATATGAATACTTTCATCAAACGGTCATTACCTTTTTTCTTTTAGTTGTACTGCTATATACAAGTAATAACTTTCATTTTTTGAGCTAGCGCTTGACATAAATTTGGTTAAAGTTTAAAAAAAGCGTTTTAAAAGTTGTGTTGAAAAATAAGTTTTGAAAGTTGAAGTTGTGGACATGCATTTTATTTGAAAAAATTAATATTTTGTGAGCGGAAGAAAAAATCACGGGCAATTTTTGGGAACTTGAATTTTTTTCAAAATTTACTAAAAAATTGATCATATTTCATGAACAACCAGTATTTTAAAAAAAAAAGTAACAATGAAAATGTCAAAATCTATGACGAGACGGGGGATAAATGTAGTGAGGGAAAACTAGGGTGTATCGACCTTTCAATAACAAAGACTTAAGTTTACATTAAAAGGATAAAAAAATAATTAAATAAGCAAGTAAAGGAACATATTGGGAGCGTGTGGAGACAGAAAGTGAATCATAAAAAGAGAAAGCTTCAACTTTCTGTCTTTCCATTCCTATCGTTTCATCCCCTTTCTATTGTACTTAAACAATTCCCATTGTGTTCTTCTACCACATTACTTACATCTTTATGAGGACATATTCAGGAGAACAAGCCCTACAAGAAAGATATATCAACTTTTCTTTGTTCTTACTCTAGAATCAGTTACCAATGTTTCTAAAAACCTCCATTTCCTCTACCAAAAAGCTCTTCCAAAAAACCCTAGATAGTGTCAAATCCTTTTTCGCCGGTGGATACCAAAAGCTTCCACAAAGCCCTCCATGCAGTCCCCTATTTCTTTGTGCTGGCGGAGCCGATACCAATGTCAGCCGAAGCTACACAGAGCTGGAAAAATATTATACCGACTTCAGTGCCCATTGGGATTACGGAAAGGACAAACCCAAGAGGAAAAGCAAGAATAAAATAATATCTCCATCAGCAATTATCTCAAGGAAAGAAGACGACGTTCACCAAAAGATCGTTAGGTTCACCAAAGTGAGCCCAAGAAAGAGTAATTATCAGGTTTTGGAAAAAGAACGTCAAGATCATGATAGTTGTCAAGTTCTTGGCTCAAATGATGATTTAAAGAGGAAGAAGATTATGTATGAAGGAAAGAAGAAATGCCACGAATTTCCGAGTCCAGGAGATGACTTAAGAGAGGAAAGGAGTTATTTGGTGGCTCAAAAGCTAAAGGAATTGAAAATGTTAGAGAAGAATAACGAAGAGCACGGTTGGGATATTGAAGAAGTTCTTTATTACTACTCGCGTCTCACTTGCCCGACTTATGTTGAAATTGTTGACAAGTTTTTCATGGAAATGTACTCTGAACTTTTCAACCAGCAAGCGTCTTCTTTTGGGTATATTAATCATAATATGAGCCTCCAAAGAGTTAACTTGTATTAACTAGCTGCGTGATATCTTCTTCTGTTTCTTCTTTTGTTGATTTTCTAGTGATCATCTGGAAAATAACACGAATACTTAGCTTGTCCATTATTCAGTTGTCTTGCTTCCTCATTGTTCTAGCTTTTTCTCACAAAATAAATAGGAGTAATATAAAAGGAAAGAAAAAAGAAGAAAATTGTCACTTCGATGTCGACCAGTCTTAGTTTCTTTTTCCTCAATAGTATATTTTCTATATGATTATTAATTCCTTAAAAGAAAACATTTAATTCAATTACGGCTTTGTTTCTCTCGGTTGAAGTGTATAGGATAAAATATGTTTATATTAAATGATCGCACGAGAGAGTGACACATGGAATCGAAGACAAAAAATAGTTGAATCCGAAAGCGACGATACAGTATGTTATCGGAGAGAATGATACTCACAAAGATGAAATAAATGTCTGCCACCCGTTAGCATTTAGTGATGAGTATTTTATAGTATTAAGTACACGGCCCGTTAAAAGGGATATGACATTCACTGCCTGCCGTTACACATTCTTCAATGCCCTCATAATTGACAGTAAAGGGTCACTTGATCCTAGGACCCTGTTCACTAGGTGCAACTATAAATAATGAGCTCTATTATCATTGTAAAGGACACGAATTTTCTGGCAAATACACACTACATTCTATTCAAAGCTCAATATAATGTTGATCTTCTTGTTTACTGATATCGTTGCTATTGTGCCCGGAAGCCCTGCTCCCGGAAATACTATCTCTGCTACTTTATCTCCATATCTCAAGGATAAATATTATATTTTTATTTAATTCATCTATTATTTTAGGATCAAATTAATTCACTTATCTATTGTCACACCTCCCTTTTTACACACCTACCCCGAAGGATAATGTATAGTGGAGTTTTTCTATTTAAAGTGACATCATTCGAAATGGGATTATTTATTTGATTTAGAGTCGCCACTTGGGATAGGATTGGCTTTTGGTGTCCCAAGTCACCGATTTAATTTGAATCCCAAATCGAGGAAAATTTCGACTTCTCAGTTGGAGTCTGCGAACCAGAAATTCTGAATAAGGAATTCTGTTGACCCGAGGGAAGGTGTTAGGCACCCCCGGATCCCCTGGTTCTAGCACGGTCGCTTAAATTATCATAAATGGCTAAAATCTGATTTTTATACATGTTATCCTATAGTGCAATTTAAAAATTATTTACCGCTTTTAATTGAAACTTTAAGAAGGTGAACGTTGTTTAAAAACATATTTTCGGATCACGTCACATGAAATGCACCCGGATCCTCGCCATATTTTTAGTCAACGTTTTTGGATTTGGATTTGGGTTGCATGAAATGCACACCCGTATTTAGGAAGGTAAAATTATTAAAAAGCGCGCCTAAAGTGACTAACGTATTATTATCTTTGCAGGAGGCCGTGAAATTAGCTAAACGGCACGTCCCGAATTCTAAGTATTTTGATATAAGCATTTAATGAGGGCCCCGCAATTTTGTGTGTTTTGTTTGGCGAGGCTCATCTCACTTTATTAATTTTAAAGGCACGTCCTAAAGTAACTATGATTTTCTATTTTTATTATTTGTCTCTAAAGGGCTAATTGATTTACATCTATAAATTCAAACCTCAAATTCAAGTCCGAATTCAAACAAAACGGAGGACCCTTTTAATTTGAACTCGCCACCTAATTCGAAATCCAAATTTATACTTGCGAATCGATTCCCCATATTCCTAATACATTTTTAAGGGTTTTGATCTATAACAAACTTTTTGGGCCTTGAATGCAAATCAAGTATCGGGCTTCACTTATAGGAATAAGAGTCAATTGGAACTGGAAATAATCAAGTATTTGAGCACTAGTATTTTCAGAAAAAAAATGGGACCCATTAAACTAATATATTGATTTTCATGTGCGCTGTTTGAACTCATTTTGTACATATCAAACTATCTAGACCTATTTTCATAACTACTGAACATGAATTAACTACACCACACTTCACACCTAGTAATACTGTATTTATAAATCTATTTGGATCTATTGAAAACAAATTAACTCCATTACACTTCTTAACTAGTGCCACAACCTAAAATAGATTAAAGTGCTGGCTACGTAAAACTCGCATGTTTGTAAAATCAGCTCAGTAATCCACCAATTCAAAATCTATAATACACAGTCCAAATTAACAGTCCAAAACGCATTTATTTACTAACGTCTACTGAACTGAACTGTAAACAATAAACAACATTCAAATAAGCCTAGATTTGGCAGTTTTCCATTTCAACTTCAATTGGAGCTACATGGAAGCAATTTGAGGGAGTGTACCTGGTATTTGAAAATATAAGAGAAGAAAAGAAGGTCAGCGGTTGAAGACAAGCTAGCAGCAATAGAAAACCAGCAATGAATGAGCAACAGGTAGCCCAGGAACGATTGAAAACAAAGAGACCAAAGCAATCATCCCTAAACCAAACTCAAACAGCACCCCTTTATCCAAAATGAACCCAGAAATCAGCTACAAAACCACGTTGAACTACCAGCTAGCTCGAATCACTCAGATGTGACAGAAAACTGAAAGTGATTCAAGGATATGCAATGAAACAGTAATATTTTGGATTTTTCCTTTGTTTTTTTTTTTGAGGATCTAAATGATCTAATCTAATTGGAAAGAGTTTCAGATTTTCAAGTTAACAATTTTGGATTTGGTTTTGAATTTTGAATTTTAGGTATTCAAAGATTTTGGGGAATTTTTTGGGGGAATTTTAGAGGGCTGACATTTTTTGGGAATTTTTTCGAGATTGAAACTTGTGAATTAAGGCATTGGACATGCCTTTTATAGGCAAGGATAAGGGCAGCCCTCAGATTTTCAGTTTTGCATTTTCCATCCTTTCCTAATTTTCATTTTTGCTTAAAAGTCCCTTATTTCCTTACTTCTTTCTCAAGTTATAGCCACTAAACTTCCTAAAATTCTGTTTTGAACCCTATCTAGAATGTTCCAGAGATTTCTACTAGTTGCTACCAAGATTCTTTCTATCCAAAAGCCTATACTACCCTTGAACTTTAACCTGAATTACTAACTATGTCGAACTAACCCTGACCCCTCCCTGCCCTAGTTAAAATTCAACTATAGTTAAAAAAACTAAGTTATTCAGCCATATCCGATCACCTAAACCTAATTACTTTGAAAACACTGAATTAAAGAACAATTACCAATCAAGATCATGCATCGAAGAACTAATTCGAACCATTACTACAAAAGCTAATTACGGAACAATTACTGAGCTGGAAATTAACTAAACATCGATTCAAAACAACTAATTAGAGTATTAGTGATTAAACAAAATCAAAGCAAAACTGAAAAACCAAACCAAAAAAAAAAAAAAATACGGATGCAAAACTGATCTTAAAGGGAAAACCTAGGCTAAATTATTGACCAAATATGCAGGAAATTAATTCAAATGTTAAAGCGACCTAATTAGGCTAAGTGATTAATCCAAACAGAAACTTAACTAAAATTTAAACGAACTAAGGGGATTCAGGGAGAGGGAAAGGAGACAGAGAAACAAAATATGAGCAAAAGATACAGAAAACTCACCATCCTAAAAGCTTAAATCCCAATTTGACCTTCTGATTCCGTCCCCAAATAACATTAGTCCTTTGTTCTTAGCAAGAACGAACGAGTAACATTATTAGAGAACGGAACCAAACCAAAACTCCAAAAAAAAAACGGACCAGAAGCCTAGCATGCTCAAGTCTCGAATAAGACTTTTCAGATTCAAAATTCGAGGGATTTGAATGGCATTCGAGGGATAAGGACGCCGGAATCAAGATGAGGGAGGGGAGGTGACCCTAGGGTATTAATTTGGTGGGATTTGGACACGGGCGCCGCCGTGCACGGTGGTGGCGGCGCTAGGATTTGACTTATTCGAGGTGTTAGGGTGATATTTGGAGGGAATCAATGGGGGATATGGAACGGGGAGGTGAAGGAGGAGGGGTGGTGTAAGTTTCAGGGTCGTTGGACAAACGCCGCCGCCGTGGGCGATTTTCGACGGCGGAGTTAGGGCGGAGCCGGCGGAGGGGAAGGAGGTACGAGGAAGAGAAGCCTGTCTTTTGGGTTTTCCATTTTTTAAGACACTTTTATTTTAATCTATCACCAATCATGGGCCGTTGGATGAGAGCAAAGGGACGGGCAAGATTGATTCTAGCCTAAAGATATCAAAACGACGTAGTATTGGCATGATACTACGTCGTTTGAATGGTGTGGGGCAATGAAAATTGGACCGGGCATATGTGCGGATTGGGCTAGACGGGTGTGGGTTGGCACATTATTTCAATTGGGCTAGCTGAATATTGTGAATAAATGGCCCAAAATGACTGGCCTGTTTTCTCATTTATTCCTTTTTTGTGTATTTTACTTATATATATGTTATTTATTATTTTTTCGAATTTTCTGATTTTATTGTGTAAAATAAAAGACCCAAATTAAATCCACTAATTAACTAATTCCTAATTTAAGAGAAAACTAAATCAAAAAATGTAAAAATGCAAAGTTTAAGATTGTAAAAAGACTATTTTGTTATTTTCCTTTTATTTCAAATGATGTTTAATTAATATAAAAATCTAGAATTAGGTCCTCAATGCAAGTATGCTATTTTTGTATTTTTCATGAGTTATATCAATCAAAAAATGCACAAAATGCAAACAATCACAAAATCATGTAATTAATTCCCTAAAATTCAAATAATAAAAGAAAAATTCTAGTTCTAATGAATTTATAGGAGTAATTTAAGAGCGGCAAAAATCAAGTGCTCACAGTATATTTATCTTATAAAAAATAATATTAATATTCATATTGGGAAGAAAACTTATGCTAATAAGATGTTAGCCACGTATTTACAATTGGTTAAATTGAATCTTATTGTAAAAAAAATATTATTTATCAATATGAAGATTTGAGTATCTTAATTCAAAGTTCTAAAATATTTCTACTGTTAAAAAATAGATAGTCTTTCTTTCCATTTTTATAAGGATTTAGTATTTTTGTTTTCTTTTTTCTATAAACTTCAATATTGTCTAAACGAAAATAAGATAG